TACAAAAAATCAGCTGGGCATGGTGGCGCGTGCCTGTAATCCCAGCTACTCAGGAGGCTGAGGCAGGAGAATTGCCTGAACCCAGGAGGCGGAGGTTGCGGTGAGCCGAGATCGCGCCATTGCACTCCAGCCTGGGTAACAAGAGCGAAACTCTGTCCCCCCCCCGCAAAAAAAAAAGAATGTAAACAGATCTTGAGATAAAGTTTGAGAACTGCTAGTCTATGATATTTTGCATTATTTACTTACTAATGGCAAGTATGTATAGTGTGGATTTTAATATCTATATTAATAGAATTTGTAGCTTAATTATTTTAAGTTAACTTTGTTTAAATATCTCTTTGAATATTAGATTTGATGCCTAACTATAATTTAAATTGGTACCTTGGTTAGGAATATATGACTCATTTTCTCCCTGATGGTATTAACATCAAAGAGAGGTCTGCTTTAATGCATAAGGAGACAAAGCAAATATATTTGAACTAGATATATAAATTCAAATATTCAGCTTAGAATTTAATAGATAAATCAGAATAAAATAGGATTCTCTAACTGCTGCTTCTTTTTCTCATAAACTTTTTTTCTCCCAAAGAGCAGTTTCAGGTTCAGAACAAAATTGGGCAGGAAGTACAGAGTTCCTATATGTCCATGTACCCCACACCCGTACCCGCACGACCTCCCTGATTATGAATATCCTGTTCCAGAGCAGTATATTTGTTACAACTGACAAACTTACACGACATAATTATGAAGTTGAGATTTATATTAAGGCTCACTCTTTGGGTTGTATATTTTATGGGTTTGGACAAATGTATAACGACATGAATCACCATGATCATATCAAACGGAATAGTTTCACTGCCCTAAAAATCTGTGCTTCATACCCCGCTCCTCCCCGACCACTAGCAATCACTGATCTTCTTACTGTCTCCACATGTGATGGTTAATACTGAGTGTCAGCTTGATTGGATTGAAGGATAGAAAGTATTGATCCTGGGTGTGCCTGTGAGGGTGCTGCCAAGATTAACATTTGAGTCAGTGGGCTGGGAAAGGCAGACCCACCCTTAATTGGGTGGGTGCCATTTACTCAGCTGCCAGTGAACATAAAGCAGGCAGAAAAACATGAAAATTAGAGACTGGCTTAGGTCTCCCAGCCTACAGATTTCTCCTGTGCTCAAGCTTGCAGACAGCCTATTTTGGGATTCTGTCATGGTGTAGGTTAATACTTAATAAACTCCCCTTTATATTTATATATCAACCGTATCAGTTCTGTCTCTCTAGGGAACCCTGACTAATACACCATAGTTCTGCCTTATCCAGATATTAGCTTCTTACTAAGTACACTTGATGAACGTTAGTGACAAAATCAGGCCAGACTTAGCAACTCTTTCTGCATTTTCATTTACTTCCCAATACGATAAAGGCCATAAACACCTGTCTTTGTTCTTTATTCACATACATTTCATCGCAGACTGTCAGATCCTCCTCACTAGGAGCTCCATTTAATTTGGGGTCATGGTACCAAATAGTTCGTCACTGCTATTTGATGAGGGTGGTCCTGTCACCTAAGTGCTCTTGAAATTAAGTCCTTAAGCACTGGCAGAAAAGAGCTTACCTTACAGTAATTATTTCAGTGACAAGTAAGAAAAACTGGCAGATATCCCCTTCACAGGAGAGCAGTTTTCCTCTCTTTAGGAGACTCTTGGAGTTTTAGTTATCAGGACATTTAAGACTCTGAGTAGATTCTTAAACCTTTAGAATAAATTTTGAACTAAGAGTGCCAGCATGTCTGGTATTTACATTAGTATTAAGTGATCTGAAAGTGCACAGAATAGTTTGGCAGTATCTAGAAGAACAGAGATGGAAATAAAGAAGATTTAACTGGAGTAGTAAGAAAAGGAGACCAAAAGTATTTTATGTATGTTCAGTACTTCTGGGTGCCACTGTTGCTGAACGCCTGGGGCTTAGCCTAGGTTGAGTTGCTCCTAGCACAGAAAACCAATCCCTGAGACAAAAAGTATTGCCAGGGAAGACAGGTTTTAATGCAGGTGATGCTGGCAGGGAGATCAGTCTCAAACCTGTCTTAGGGAGACTAAAGTCAGGTCTTTCTACAGCAGGGAATTAGGAGGGGTAAGGAAGAGGAGTTGGTGAACAGGCAGCAGATGCCCCTCATTGTCCAGATGTAGTGATCTGAAAAGTTTCAGTTCCTTGATTTTATTTGAAAGGTCTGACAGTGTATCTCCTGAGAAAGGAACTCAGGTAAAATACATGCAAGTTTCTTAAGTTACACTTCTATGGGAAAATTTGGCCAGTTTCAGTCCTCTCTTTCTATTTATCAATTCCTCAATCATGGAGAATCTGGCTGCTTCAGGTCAAGGAAGGGCATCTTGGGGTGATAAAAAATGAAAATATCACACCTGTAATTGCAAGTACTTACGAGTTGGTTGGAGTACCATAGTTTGGGTATTTTCATCAACATTTTTAGCCACATTGAATTAGGATAATTAATAACATGGAGAAGAAGGTTTCTTTGTAGGCTGTAATAACCCATTTAAAAGTTAGTACCATTTGAAGGCAAAAGCTTCAGTATGAAATTCGTTTCTCTCAAGTAAACCACCTGTCCTGTATTACTCCCTTTGGTTTACATGGAGGCAGCAAAATAGAATTGTTTTCCTGAGTAGAAAAAAAATGCAATGAGTGGCCCAGAGAGCGCCAGTAAGCTGCTTTGCCACTATCGCCCTGCGCTTAATCAACTGTGAGGATTCGCGGTTTCCTGACTCGTAAAACAAGGGGAGGAGCTGAAGACCTAGTTTCATGGAATTTTCGGTTATTTATTGTCGTCTCACCCGTTAGTACGTTGCTGAGCTTCGGGTCAGAGCCCAATAATTGCGTGCTGAACGAGTGTGGTTTCTCAGTCTTGCAGATCCAGGCCGCATTTTGAGCGCGACCTGGGCGGGCGGTCCAAGGGCTAGATTTCCGCCGGAGGCGGAGCTTCGTGCGGCCCCCGCGCGGCGGAGGAGCGGGGCGGAGCTTGCGGCCGGCGGAGGGCGGGGTCTGCGCGGGGACTTCCCCTGGGCTGATCTGCGCAGCGGGTGCGGAGGGCTGGCGTCCAGCGTACGGCGGCGGGCGGGGGGCTGTTTGGCTGGAAGGTGTGGGCGGGCACGCAGCCTCCGACCCTTGGTGGTCTCTTGGGCTTGGTACCCTTCCCTGGGAGTTGTACCCGGCCAGGGCGGGGCGGGCGTTGCTGGGAGGCGGAGGGTTGCGCGGCCGCGAGTCCTGAGTGATCGCGAGCACGTGTGCGTGCGCGTGTTTATCTGAGGCGCGTGCAGCCGCCGCCCCTTCCTCGTCCTTTTCCTGGCTCCACTGGCTAAGGGTGGGAAACCGGCGCCAGAGGCGGCACACTTGGCCCGCAGCCGGCCCGCTCTTCCCCGCCCAGCCTGCGCCCCGAAAGCGCCCCCTTTCTCCTTCCTCACAAAGGGGACTAGTCCGCCCGCCCCCGGCCCTGGCCTTGAGGGAGCGCTCTGGGGGCGGGCTGCCTTCTGCCTGGAAGTGTTGGGCAGGTAGTGGGAGAGCCTCAGGCTTGAACAACAGGATTTTAAAGCACGTGTCTGTCTGTCGTTTTTTACTTTTAGGGTTTTGGCCAAATTGGGCGAGGGCACATAATAACCACTTACCCCTTCTCACCGAGGAAGAGCGGGAGAAAGGGTAAGTAAGGAATGGTCAGGGGTGGAAGGAGCTAGGACTTTATCCTGAGAGCGAGCGAGACAGAAGGGCTACATCCAGAACTGCCCATGGGGAACTTGGGCCCAGATTCTACCTTTTCATCAGAAACTGGAAGAGCCACCTTCAGAGTCACAGGCTCCAAGCCCCAGACAGTTTTCAGGCTCACACAGTCTCTAGAGTTGGCTGGGAGTTTAACAGCTTGGGCATGTGAATTCCTTTTAGTCTTTTGACCCGACAGAAAACTGCCCTTCCCCTTCACCTGTTTTTACCTTGGTCTTCTAGTTGTCCGTCTCTGGCCCTATCTTATTTAGCCAGCTTTGACTAATCCCTGAGATCATAGCACTAAAGAATCCCTGTCCTGTTTGATAATGAACAGCAACCCTCCTAGGGATGGGTACATTTTAAAAGGGGCCTCCTGAAAAAATCCTTTAGGACCCCGAAGCATAAAGTTAATAAGATTACAAGTGTTGAAGTCCTTTCGGATCTTCTCTTGAGTTTACAGAAGGTATTTTGAGGGGAGAAAGATGAACAGGCTGGGCCTTCTTCTCTGGGCCTTCACTCTTGGTACCTCTTCGCAGGCATTCCATTCACTTTTGAAAAGGTGCCAAAAGGCCATTAAAGTCCTCTGAGGTTTACTGTGATTTTCAGTGTGGTCTATTTCATTGGTTCTTCTCTGGGACCTTTCTCTCACTTCTTTAGCACACTGCTTCCCTTTCCCCTGTATGGTGAAATGAAACACAGCCCCTCTCACAAGGTGGGGAACCCCTTATGCATCCTATATGCCACATATAAATAACCGCTTTAAACCAGTTGAAATTCATATTAACTACAGCAGGAATGTAGTAAACTACATTCATGTATTCTTACACAGGAAAACTAGAATTGCCCTCTGTGATAGGTTGCCTATTCTGATATTGGCTGCCTGTGTACTCAACGTGCCTGTTTGTGCTCAAGTAATAGGTGACCACATAATTTACTTTATGGAAAACCAGGAAGTAATTGTTTATTGATAATGGGTTCCTTCATTGATTCAGTAGCTGATTCCCTCTTTGTTACCATGTACTGAGCACTTTTAACAGCACTTTGATAAAAGTAAGATGGTGAGAATGATGAGACTGTATTGGAGATGGCTGTTTTGGGGCAGACCTTTCACCAGTTGTTTTGTGGATTTTCTCCAAAATTACATGTTAATGTGCAAGACTTTCCCTGTGCTACTGATCATAGTGGTTTGCAGGTCTACACAGTGTTGTGGGAGAACAGAATTATTCTGCCTTTCTAATGCTTTCAGTAATAAACTTACAAGGATGACTGACCTTGGTGATTTGTGTCCTCTAGTGAATATTGTTATAGTTATTTTCCAGTGTACGAGTATATTAATTAGATAAGGACAACTTTTTAAATTGTTCTGTAAGAAGGACCTAATATTAGGAAACATGGAGAGTGTAAAAGATGATGTACTTAGAAAAATAAATACAAAAGTAGACCATTAACTTGCATGGGTTTCTGTGCATTTAGCCGCATTTAAAAAAATCTAAGCTAGAATAGTTCTGTTGTCTTTTTATGGTTATAAAAGTAATATTAAAGTCAAAAAAAGTTACTTAGAATTAAATCTGGGAGGAACATAAAAGGCAAAAAATGGGTCTCCTATGAGCCCACTCTAAGATGACCACTTAATAATTTGATATGTATTTCTTCAACTTTTTGTTCCATATATACACACACTAAATATGCAGCTTAAGTATCTGTTAAACGTGCATACATCTTAGCTACATACTGTATATGGAACATGTGGAATATATGTTTATATGTATATTGTTATTTAGTAAAATTGTAAATTTCTTCCTTTTTCCCCTTCTTGGCTATTTACCACCACTCCTCAGTCCACCGCAAAACTTCATGTAGAAGTAGCATGACATTTATAGTGTTTTGGATATGAGCTTGATTTCTGACTCTTATTTTATTAGCTGTGTCATTTTGGACCATTAAAACTTCTCTGTTCCTTGATTTCTTATCCATCGAAACAGAACAAAGACTACATGAAAAAGAATGTGTGAAAAAACAGTGCCTGGCATATAAGTACTTACTTTAAATTTCCCTCCCTGTTTCTCTGTGTGGTCACACATCACTTTCTTATGATCTTCCTTTTGGTTGTGGAAAGCCACGTAGTACCTAACTTACCCATATTGTTAAGCCTACCTGGGATTTGCCTTTCACAGGGGATCAGCTGGTATATCTGATCCTAGAATTTCTGGGACAAGGTCTGACACCTGATGTGGCCTTATCAGATCATTACACAGATGTGGATAAAGTGTGTCAGCTTGAAAAATGAAGGGAAAGAATTTCTATAATGTGTTTAAAAAGCCACGACACTGTTCTTAAAGTGAGAAAGACATATTACTGTATTTAGCTGAGTACTTAAACTTAGGATTTCTATTTTGGAAGTGTCTTTGGTTTATAAGAATTACAATAAAAATGCTGATGCTTCATGTCCAAACTGTCATGATTTTGTCAAGTTGTGGGTTTAATATACAGCTAAGCTGTATATTTAGTATATCTAATATTGCTCTGGAAGCTGAGAAAGACAGGTTCACAGACATCTGATTTCACACCAGACATCTGGTTTCACTTTACTGAGGAGTACGTTTGTCAGCAGATTATAGGCATATCAACTATACTGCTATACTTTGTAGCATTTCTGTCATAAGCTGTGGTCTGTAGGATTTAGTATGATGTTTTATTCAAATGACAGCCCACTGAAAATGAGCACCTGGTCAGATAAGCACATTTCCCACATGTGTCTTCTAGTGTCATTGTTCTTATAAGTTAACAAGGTGAAAACATTCTATCCTTGGTGGTTTTTATATTTTTTGTTGAAGCAAGAAAATATTCTTAAAAGCCACACTTAAGAACCTGTTATATCCCACAAGTTCATTTTCAGGTCTATCGTTTGTAAAGTTAACAGTGTACTTACAGGAATAAATAGCATTTAGATTTCTAGGTCAGAACCCCAGGAAGTCTAATACTTATTTTTTATGGGTACTAAGGAAAGCTTTTTAAACTCATTGTGTGCCTGTTGTATATTAGTGTTATTATAGACTCTAATCGACATATGTAGTAGTGTTTTGGAGGCAAATGTCTTCTGAGTGCTAACCTGAAATGGTTGCACCATGTCTCCCTCCGTTTCGAGGTAGTGAGGGGTATAAAAAGCTCTGGAGGTTGTCATTCTCAGGTTTTCATGTGGGCCCTGTCATTACTTAGCTGTTGACCTTGGACACAAATTCCTCTTCTGCATGTGGGATAATTACTCATGATTACTGTGAAATTCAGTGAGTGAGTGTAACATAGCACAATATCTGCCATAAAATAAATCTTCAGTAAATAGTTGTTTCATTTTTCCTCACAATCCTGGACACAAGAACACAGACACCCTCCCACCCTCTGCACTTGCATGCAGACTAAGACACTGGCCAGGACTTGTGGCTCCGTGGAGAGGAATTACTCATAGCATTGGGGATTTGGTAGTGGAGACTCAGAAAGGGTCATGCAGAATAATGACAAAGGAGAAGGGGTTGTGAATTGAGAGAAAGCTGCGTCTTTTGTTCAGCTCATGAATTTAGGTCAATGAATTATTTGGTTCCTAGAAAGAACCGTCTTTTTCTCTGGCTTCTCTGTTGATCTTTGTCAGCTGTTCCATTGGAAACTCTTACCTTCTTAATGTCTACTTAGTCCAATAATAAGTTTTTTTTCCTTGATCTTACTACCTGAATAGCCATATTTTTTTATTTATTTTTTTTAATGGCTAAGACTTAGTAATGGATGTCTGTACTACAGTATTAGATATCTATACTACAGATGTCTGTACTTTCTTAAGATCTGGTGGTTTTTTTTTTCTATACTCAGAGTCCAGTTGATTTTTTGTTCTTTCACGGGCCCATAGCTTATTCATTAACTTCTTGTCTCCTTTTTTATTCTGTCTGTCTGCATGGAACTAGTAATGTACACGGAACTAGTGACTGTGTGAATTGAACTAGTGATGAGGATATAAAGATGAAAAGTTGTTGTCTTTGACCAAGGATCTTGTTGTCTAGTAGGACTACAGCTATCTTGAGCAATAGTTCAAGTACAGTATGCTATTTAACAGAGGTAGGTATAAGTGCAAATGAAATCTAGAACGCGCTCTTGATCTGTCTGAAATGTCAGGGAAGGGTTTTAGCTGAGACTTGAAAACTGGGTAGGCGTGATGGGCATGTTGACAAGCAGTAGAAAACATTTCTAGGTAAAGCTAACAGCATGAGTAGTTGTGTGACACAATGAAAACATAGTGTATTCTAGCAACTATATGTTGGTCAGTTATATTAGAGTCTGAAGGACAAGGTCAGGAGTGAAAGGAGATGAAACCGGATAGCCAGTTCAGGGTATACTTCCTATACCATGTGTAGTAAGCCACTGAAGAATTGTGAATGTCATGGAAGATCACTGAAAGCAGTGTGCTGGGTAGATTGAGGGTGGAGTGGGGTTGGATGTGGGGACATGGCAAGACTGACTGGAGACCTTTAAGGACAGTTCGTTAGTATGGTTAAGAGAGGTCGAAAGCCTAGGTAAAGGTGGAAGTAGTGGGAATAGAGAAGTGAGAATATTTGGGAAAAATAAGATGAGGGAGAATTTGCTGGTCTTTGTGACTGTTCGAATGTAAAAGGTATGGGAGAGTGAGGATGTTAGAATTCTTCCTAGGTTTCTGGTAGTGAGTGGGAAAAGGAAGGGGAAGAAGGTATGAGGGGGAGGAGAATGAGTTCAACTTTGGACCTGTGTTTCACATGCTTGCAGGGAATATCATCGGCAAGTGGGAGATGTTTAGAAGACAGTTGTATATAGGATCCTGGAACATCACAAGAGATCATGAAGGCCAGAGAAACAGATTTGTGTGTTTCTCCATATGGAGAGTAATTGAAGACACAGGGATGGATAAAAGTGCTTAGAGGAAT